TAAATTGTCGCACCATCTTTTTCGTGGTCTGCCAATACTTCTTCGTCCATTTGGTGACTTATATCGTGCTATTCGTACTATTCTATCCTCCGCCATTCTACTTATGTGTTTGTTCCACTTTTGTTTTCGTTTTGTCGTTTACAGGTCTTGTCTCAGTCGTGTATGTTAATATAGGTCTAATTCCTGCTTTATAGACTCTTGTTTTTGTGTCTTGTCTTAGGTGTTTGTTCTTCCAGATTGTGTCATTAAGAGAACCCGCCGCTTTACTTGCTTTTAAGCTTTGCTGTCGCACTTTTTCTTCAACATCTCCTTAACTAGTTATATCTATTCCCAGATATCTAACCCTTGCTTCCGGCTTTATTATTTTCCCGTCAATTTCGATTTTACACCGTAGTGGGTATTTAAATGTCATACATTTGTATTTTTCCGCTGATATTATCATATTGTATTTCTTAGCTGTTGTATTGAAGATATGTGTTAATCTTTAGAGCTCGTCTTCTGTCTCGGCGATTAATGCGGCGTCGTCTGCATAACATAATATTTGGATTTCTTTGTTCCCAATTCTGTAGCCATGACTTTTACGTACTGCTTGTATTATTTCGTCCATTATTATATTAAAGAGAAGTGGGCTTAACGAGTCACTCTGTCTGACTCCGCTTTGTACTGGTATACACTGTGTTAGTTTTCCATTTATCTTTGCTTGTATTCGATTATGGAGGTAAATGCTTTCGATGGTTTGTATAATATTGATTGGTATGTTACTTTTATACAGTAGGTGTAAGACGTCTTCGACTTGGATGCGATCGAAAGCCTTTGTCAGGTCTATAAAATATAGATATGATGGCCTTTTCTGTGATTTGTCTTAGTACAAATACGGCGTCTACGCAGGATCATCCGGATCTGAATCCTTGTTGTTCATCTGATAAAGTTGTTAGTTTATTGATTTTGTCGGTTAGGACTTTTGTGGTAAGCTTAAGTGCGGTGTTCAGTAGATTTATACCTCTATAATTGCTGGGGTCTTCTTTATCTCCTTTCTTGACCATTGGTATCATTATGCTGTTTCTCCATGCGTCTGGTATATTGCAGTGCAATATTAGTTTTTGTATAAGTTTTGTCATCTCTAGGGTTAAACTTTCTCATCCGTATTTTAGAATCTCGTTGGTTATTCCGCCTGGTACTGGTGACTTTCTATTTTTGAGTGAATTTATGACTATTTCTACTTCGTGAAAACTGATTTCTATTTTGTCTCTTAGTTCAGGTACGTTATTGTGTTGATTATTATTTTCCTTTGCTTTAAAAAGTTTTGTCAGGTATCTTTCCCATTCGTTTGCTGGTATATTATTGTATTCCTTGAAGAGATTGATGATAATATTATTTGTGAAGAATCAATAAAATCGGATATTGCAGGTACATATGAAATACAAGTGATTTTGAATTCTAACGATTCTGATTATGATATTCCTCTGAACCACAGATAAAACGTTTAAAGAAAAAACCAATAAGTAAAAATAAGGCAAAAATAGTAAATCCAAATTTATCTCAAGTTATAATAACGGATATTCTTTCGTGCTCAGTAGTAATTCAACATCAGTCTGATTGATATTTAGACAATATAAAAGCCAACCATGTAGGCAAGACATATATTAAAGTTTTTTCACTCTTTTTGATAAAAAAGTAATTGAGAGCATTCTATATTTTACAAATATTTATGCATCCCAGAATAACCGTCACAATTTTGAAATGAATAACAGATAAAAAAAAATATTAGCATATGTATATTATCTGGTTTACACTCTGCTTCAAGTTGATATGCATTGGTCAAAGGATGAGGATAAAGAAGTGCATATTATAAGAGAAAGCATGAGCCGACATAGATTTATAATTTTAATTTATAATAGTGAAGAAACCGCTACATCAGAGTCAGTACATGGGCGTCAATCTAAATTTGCTTTACCAGATGAAACCAGATTCGACAATATTGGCCACTTTATAAAAAGAGACGATAGTGCAAAAATGTAGGATGTACAAAAGTAATACTATTTATTTATGTAAAAAGTGTAGAATGCATCTACACCCCGAATATTTCAAAAATTTTTACCTTAAAATTTAATTTACGTTTAAGATACAATATGTTCCTTTATTAAAAATTGTACTGTTTTCCTTAACAATGAGAAAAAAAATCTTTTTGGTTGTAATTTATTCCTAATTTGTGTTTTTAATCCAATCTAATAAATTAATTGTCAAATTTCTCTTTGTATATTGAGCGGCCGTTAAGGGTTTAATACTATATAAAGAATAAACTGGCCTCAAATTTACTTTACTTACCTCAAAACTATTTTTAAGTTAATAATAAAGTATATTTAATAAATATATTCCCAATAATACATTACGCCTATGTACAATATGTACATAAATGTATAAAATCTGGAAGATATCATATTTCATAAACTTCAATAAACTAAGATATCATATTTCTCTAATTAACATTCTTTCTAAAAACGTAAATATATATAGACCAGCAAAATATTGATAATTTTACCAATGTTTCAAACTATTATATGAACTTGTCTCACTATACACTCGTGAATCGCACCAATTTATACTGTTACGGGGCACATTTATCTTAGATGGGTTACAAATTTACATATTTACATGTGCGAAGCATACACAATAAAAATGACCCCGGTAAGAATTTACTAATGAAATTTTTCATGGTTGCCGCTACCGTTTAGTTCAATTTGTAGATTAGTCACCTTTAATTGAAAATTGTCTGACTATAGCAATTAATTCTTTTCTAGATTCATTGTTTTTGACAGATCTCAATTTTTCATGTATGCGTTTTTTGCTAGGGGATTATGAGGTAGTTTTTAGGTATTGTTCAATATACAAATCAACAGCAATTAATTACCAATAAAATATGCCCCCAAGATGGGCTCTGTAGCCTTATTCATTGCCAAGATATAGCTATATATCTATTGTGTATAATTTGTAGATGATATTTCTGAGACTTTTTTTACTCTGCTATTGTTGGTACACTCTTTGTATTGACTTTTTCTTTTAGTATTGGCAACCAAAGCCTGCTTCATTCTACTGATGGGTTACACATTTTTCTTCATTAAGTAGGATAAGAGCTGCTTCTCCAACTTTTCTCTTTTTTATATCTGTTTCTTTCATGATTATTGAAGCATCTTTCCATTGTATTCTCTGCTTGTTCTTTCTTGTGTGTTGCTGGGTTTGGTTTGGAGTTTATTAGTCTTTCTTATTCATAGGTCATTCCACAGATTTTGTAACCAGTTCTGATAAGAATTATTTTAGTTCTATACTTTTATGATGGTATAGTCAATTTATTATTTATTTAGTAGTAGTATATTAGCATATTTAGTTTATATAGTAACATTAGTACTATTAGTAGTGCAAAAAGTGACAGTGATTTATTATGTACTCTTTCTCACTCTCTTCCTCAATACCAAATAAAATTTAATTAGTAGGTAAGTATTTGTCCTATCATTTTGATGATGGATTCAAAGATTCATAAAGATGATCAGATGAATGATTGAAAATAGAAGAGTTGCTAAAAATGTTTTTATGTTTATGGTATGCAAACCAAAAAAAAAGGAGAATAATATAAGATATGTATGATATTATAAGAACAGTGGTTGCAAAATTTATTCAGGTGAGAATAATAAGGAAAAGATAATGGCACAACTATGTTAAAAGCATAGACAAAAACAAACATTCTTCAGGAATTAGCAAAGTAAATTTAGTTCAAAAAATGTATTCGGGCATTTCTCAATTGCGGGCACTCTAACCTAACCAAGCAAGCATTTATATGACATTTAACGTTCGCTTAAATGGTGTCAGAGTTGCCAAGTCTCTAGTTTTTTCATACTCTCACATAATATTATACAAATGTTGATTAAAGTGATATAAAAAATTAATAGTATAGATTTTAGTTAAATTAAAGATAATAATCAAATGCATATACAATAAAATTGATTAAAATTATATAAAAAATTAATAGTAATAATTAAATTACCGTATATAATAGAAATGCATTGAAATTATATAAAAATTCAAAGATTTTACAAAATATTTGTTTTATAAGAAACAAACTTTTTTTTATAAGAAATTGGTTTTATAAACAAAGAAAATATTTGTTTTATACTTATTTAAATCTTGTAGCTTCTCATAATACAAATTATAATTTCGTAAAAGTAACTTATATTTTAAACCTTCATATACATTTTACAAAAAAAATACGGCAAGTTTTATACTTATTTAAAATTTGTAGCTTCTCATAACACAAATTATTATTTCGTAAAAGTAAATTTATATTTGTAGCATTCATATACATATTTTACTAAAATAAATACGGCAACACTGTGAGGCAGTGCCTTGAGGAAAATATATTTGGTTAGGTTAGAGTGCCCGCAATTGCGAAATGCCCATGTATTCTAAAGCTCAATATTTAATTTACTTAATATTCCATATAATAAAGTTAAAAAAAAAACACAAAACACTTAAATCTACTCATCGTTTCTAACAATGTATAGCATCTTAAGACATCCATTAAAATTGGAAAATAATCTTTAAAATAACAAAAACTATTTTACAGGCAGAACATGATAGAAATTTGGTTGGAAAGGAATGAGCTTCTTTCTTTCAAATTGTCTACCTTAGCTTATAGTTCAGGAGCCAGTATGTATCTTTTGTGAGTCTACTTGTAAATGTTTAACTTTAAGAGCATTATAAAAATATTAGAGACCAGGTAAATATATGTAACATTATCGATTTTAATGCATCTATTTTAAAAAAATGCATAAAGTGATCTCAAAAATGAACACCTACACATAATTCGAAAATAGAATAAAAATATTTATTTGCAATCTCTTAAGCAATCCTTTGAAATAACTGATTATTTGGTAGGACTCTACGAAACTATTTGATTGATTAATCTCTTTTCTAACTTGTTACAGTTTGTAATAAAAAAGGGCACTCACTGTTGGGAGTAGAACCAAGTTCCAAAATAATCCTGTATAAGAAACAACACTAATGCACAATTCACTAGTATAACAATCAGTTTAACAGAAATTCAATATTAAACAAAAGTTTTTTATTTGGAGTGAAATTTTGTTTGTTTTGAGAAACGAGCAGCGATACCGTACAACACCATTCCTACACTCTCTACTCTCAACAGTCTAAACAGGGTGACAGAACTAAATCCACAATACATACCCCACTACATATGTATGTACTATGACCATCGAGACAAAAGAGGGAATGTAAAGGTAGAAGGGGTAAACATATTGATAGACAGGAAGTGCCATCTTGAGAGGCCACTTTAGACAAGGATAGACAGTCTCTTTCCTTGTTTAAGAAGTCAAATTTAGTTTGGTTATGTTATTGTTTGTCCCAACTGTCACATGAAATTTTATTTATATTGAAGTTTTTTACCAATTATGTCACTTTTTAGACTATTATCGTTAATATTTAATTAAAACTTTCTAGTCTGAAAAATATTTTATAGCTATTGTTAACAAATGTTGGAAAATTTAAATTTAGCGCCTTTGCATTTCCGGATGTGTCCGCCATCAGAGGCCACTTTTTTGGTCTCCTTTTTATAACGATTAGATTCCCTCTTTTGTCTTATTGCTCGATGACTATGACTAAATCTAAATAATGGAAAATGTTGTGTTGTCTTACATATCTCTGATTCTGTCACATTCTGTGCTTCACGCACTCAAACGAGAGAACTGAGAACTACGAACGTACGAACACAGAGACGCAACCAATACGTCATTGGACGCGACACTCCTTTGAAGTTTCGTGGCCAATCCGCCAATGACAGTTAACAACCAGAAAACTAATAGTCAGTGGGCATATCACACAATATAAATTCTTAAATAAAATTGAGCATTTATGTTAACTTTCAATAAATACCTATGAAATATTGCACTGAGAAAATAGTTACATGCAGGGCCGGCTTTGTTGGTATTATTAATGGTGTAATTAATTTTGATTTACAAAAGGTTGCAAATACATCGCACAACGCAAAGTAATGGTGAAAATCGTATTGATGAAACCATAGACGAAAATACTTTTTTGATTATCCTGATGTTGGCATTGATATACCAATAATACACTGATTCTTTTTAGCTTGTGATGATACAAGATATAATTTGTTCGTCGTGGAATTTCCTAATAAATTATATTTCGTAATATAATCGAAAAATAACAAAGCCATTGTAACTGCCACAGAAATTTCACAAACTCTAAAAGTTCCAATTCTCTTTGGGTGGCAAATGCTTGTGATCGCCAACAAGAAACTTTATGTTAAAATCGATTGTTAATGCCTTGGACTTGGAAACCTATCAAAATTACATTTTTCATTTAACGTCGAATATCGGAGTAAACGAATAAAAAATCAAGAAGTATTGTACGAGTATATTTCTATAATTGTAAAAATGTAATAACCTAAAAAATAACCAAAAAAGTATTACGAATAATTACAAGAGAGCATTAGGAAGATAAAAAAAATTTATATTATTGTCATTACACCATGATTCGGATATAGGGGACAGTGCCCTACAGTGGCCACCTTTTTACTTTGTTGGACATAACTTTTTACTCATTAGCAATTTTGAAAAAATAATTAAACCTAGCAAAACATTCATTATTTGTTTACAAATTGCCATAGCTAACTTTGCAAAAAATATAAAAAAACCAACCTATTTCAAAGCAACTTACTCTTTTTCAAAAATGTGGCCACTGTAGGAAAATAGCGCCTACAGTGGCCACCAATAGGTCTAACAGCGGCCACTATTTAAAAAAAATAATAATAAAACTAAATCTGTTGCTTTTCAACTTTTATTGCGAACTTAGAGAACAAAATAACAAAAAATAAGTCTTAAATGCCAACATCTTTGGGAAAATAAAAAATATTCATGCATAACAAGTCTTGAGGAACAAACTTTCAAGAAAACATAAAAGTGATATTTTAAAGAAGATAAATAATGAAAAAGTATACAAATAAAATCTTCAGTCTTTAGTTTGGTCGATTAGTTGATGTTATAAGGATCCAAATCAATATCGAAAAAAAAGCATCTAGCTGTTCTTAATGTCCTTCCAGTATTTTTTGGTTCAGGTAGATGCAGAACAATGTCTGCCCTTTGTATCACAGAAACATCATCAACATTTGGAAAAACGAATTTCTTTTCCCTGTATTTTCTTAAAAACGGCACCATATATTCTTCATCAGGTAACACCTCTTTGATTTGTCCAACAAAATATTTTATCGTTTTTGTGGTAGCAAACCTCACAAGAACAAAACTGCTCACTTCCAAAGGTCTATCGCCATCCTCTTCTTCATCGAAATTTTCAGTAAGTGTGGACGAGGCAAACGAAATTTCCTGCTCACTCTGATCTTCAATTTCTGATGAGCTAGGGGAAGCAATTTTTACTAATGGAAGCTTTTTCGTAACCTTCAGCTTTTCATCAAGTTCATCTTTAAGCTTCTGAATATTGGGGGTCCTTGTTAAAATTTCGGTTGCCCTCTTCTTCCGTCCACGCTTAGATTGGACTTGTCTTTCTGCTTTCGGGAAAGGTCTCACCAATTCGGGTGAAAAGTATAGAGCACCCTCTTCATCACCTTCGGTTAAGATCTCATCACCTTGAAAAATCGTTGGAAGTGTTTCGTTGGTTGATTGTGAAGTAGATGGCTGAGGTTCAAATGGTATATTGATGGGTGCTGGCTGGGGCTCAAGTGGTATATCGGTCACTGATGCTGGCAAAAATTCATGTTCCTTGAAACAATTCTTATTAAGCGGATAAATACCAGTACTTTTAAAGGCGGAAACTATATTTTGTGTGCAAAAGGCCTGGCCATAACTTTGGCCCAAAATCTCGGCAATGTTATAGATATCAATTCGTTTTCCCGGATGATTGGCAATCCAAACTCCACACTCCTTATTATAGTATTTTTTAAGTGGGCCGAAAACAGAAACATCCAATGGCTGGAGCTTATGGCTTGTGTGGGGTGGAAATGTAAGCAAGATCACATTATTGGACTTAGCGGTCTCTATTACTTCAAAACTAATATGTGTGTTATGGTTATCCATGATAAGCAGGACTGGTCGATTTTCAGTAGGACCCGCATGTTTGATAAAATGGTTTAACCACTGAAAAAAAAATCCCTTTCGAGCTCCATCCTGAAGGATTTGCTGCTCCTTCACTTCCAGGAGGAGCCCCAACTAACATATGTTGTTTGAAATTTTTTCTTCGAAATACCAACAGAGGAGGAACTGAGTTTCCAATTGCATTTATTGCTCCTATCATGGTGACTAGGGTTCCTCGCTCTGCCGAAGTAATCTGGCCGACTTGCTTTTGGCCCAAAGTAGCAACAACCTTATTTGTACTCTGCACCGTAGTTAAAGCCGTTTCATCTACATTGTAGATCTGATCAGGGCCAAGTTTACGAGATAAATATATATCACTCAGATTTTTGAAGAATTTGTCAACTACAGGCTTATTGAATCCCACGGCTCGAGCTAGTGACGTTGCTTCAGGGACCCTTAATGATAAAGTAGGATTTCTCTTCATGAACCCGTTGAACCATTTGGAGCCAGCATATTTGTTTGTTTCCCAGCATTCGGGTACCTTTTTCTTGTAGAAAGTAGCTATATCATATGCAAAACTTTTTACTTGGGTTGGCGTGAAGCCATGATGGAGATTTGCCAAATGTTTGATGTACGAGCTCAATTCTTTTTCTTCTGCAGAAGTAAAGATCTGATGACATGCATAATTTGGTGTCAATCTAGGATGCTTGGCCTCATTAAAGTCTATGTTCTCCATTTGTCTCCTGCATTTAGTGACATATCTTCTCAATGTCGTACGGGGAATATTAAAGTATTTTGCCGCTCTTTGTGTAGACCAGCCGCCCTCTAGTACTTTTTGTACTGCTTCCCGCACTACATGCTCTGGAGTAATTGTCAGTTTCTCACCTTTCGGCATCTATAAAAAATAAGCATTAAAACCGAATTCATTCCCACAGTAGCCACCCCTAAATGAATCCAAAAAGCAGTGGCCACCCCTAAATGAATCCAAAAAGCAGTGGCCACTGTTGGCTACATTTACCATGGCCACTGTAGGAATTATCACATTTTTTAGAAAAATGGTAGATATGATATTCTATACAATTTTTAGCAGATGAAAACAGGGGAAATATGTGGTCACTAGATACACAATTAATGCCATGGATGTTACTTGGAATAAAATATAAATGATAATGTACAATTTTACTCACTGTTTTGATGAAAACGTAACTTTTTGCGTCGCAAAACTCTCACTGCTCGAACTACACGTGACTGACAGATGCATCGTCACCGTGCAACGTTGCTGATGCTAATGCGCATCTAACAAGGTTGGTGGCAGCACGCACCAGGATATAGATTCGCAGAAATTTAAAAGTGTGCACTGTAGGAGCATGGCCACTGTCCCCTACATAGACATCCAGACTTTCAGTTTTAAGTAATAATTCGATACAATTTATTTTGTTTACAATAGATTCAGAGTTAATTCATATGATTTTTAGTTGATTGGTATTGACTTTAAAATTATTTGTAGTATCTAGTTTGCCTAAGCCCGATTTGTAACAATTACTTCTTGTTTTGTTGTTAACTGCGGTTAGTATAATTATTATACTTGTCAAGTCAAAACGACGAACCATTGAACCTTCAGTCCTTCAGCTTCAGTCAGATTCTGGGCCTAAAGTAGATGAGTATTTAGTTTTTTCATAATTTAATGTTTGTTTATTTGCAACCACGTTTTTACAATTTTGAAGTCTTGTTCTGTTGTAATTTTAAGATTTTCCCAATTATCGGTCTAATTATGTTTCCAACAATTTTTGGTTTGAGCATTTTAGTAATTTCTTTGTTTTGTTTAAATCAACCATTCTCGTGTACAGAACCCTCTATACAGTGCTTTTCAGATAAAACTATCCACCTTAAATAACTTTTAAACCTCTAATTTTTTGGAAAAAACGCAAAAACATGTCAATTAATATTTGAAGGGAGAAACATTATATCATATTTAAGGTTGCTGGGAAATGCACCCCCTCACCCCCTGTATCAACCCTTTATTTTTTTTAAATTACTTCCCCCTTTTTATATTTTATATTTGGATTCTCCTTTTTGTACTGATTTC